AAATACCATGTCTGAGATCATATGCAGTACAGTCAGGATTCAGCCTCAACTCTGCATAATTCTCAAGTCCACAGAATATACTCTACACTGAGCTGCTTCTGTTTAAATTAGTTTAAATCACATCATGGGAGGAAGTTTATTAAAAACAATTTTTTGTGCTGGCAGTTACATTCCACAGCTTTCATACTATATGTGTTAGGTTCAAAAATGTCTCTTAAATTCTTCTCCTGTTTCTACTATGAGACTGAATTCTGGCTTGGATAAAATCTCATTGGAGAATGCCAATCGAATGTTTTAGTTGTGAGGGTATTTGACAACATGTACTCCTGTGTTGTGCAGAAAAAGAGATAGAAATACATACCATTGTATTAATAACAAATGAAAAGAGATAAGCATTTTTGGTGCTTTTGAACACTGTGAAGTTTTATTGAGGAACATCAAACAATTCCACATAAAAATTGATTCGACAGAATAACATTAGAAAGAAACATCTAGAAGGGTAACATTTCAAGTTTTATGTATATTGAATTAGAATAAAGAATTCTAAAACATGTGATGTGGAATTTGCCTGTAAATTCAGATTCAATAGTAATAAAAAGCTTCTATAAAAGAGAATAAATACTAATAAAGAGACTGGGCTTTTTCAAATCAGTCCATGCCTCTGTTTTCATGACACCAGGAAGTCCCCAAGTTCTCTGAATAGACGCTTTCTGCCTGAACTGAAGGATGGGGGAAAGAAGGTGCACAAATCCAGAGCAGGTCACTCAGCAGCAAGAACTGCCACAGCAGATGGGGCGGAAGCAGGTTGTTCTACAGCAGGTGGTCTGGCAGCAGGAAGGGCGGCAGCAGCCGGACGCATAGCAGTTGGGTCTACAGCAGCTGGAAATACAGCAGGAGGGCCGGCAGCAGGTGGGCAGGCAGCACACAGACTGACAGCACTGGGGCCTATAGCAGTTGGAGATACAGCAGCTGGGGCGGCAGCAGGTGGTCCTGCAGCAGGAAGTCTGGCAGCAACTGGGTCTGCAGCAGCTGGAGATACAGCAGGAAGGCCTGCAACAACTGGAAATGCAGCAGCTGGGGCGGCAGCAGGTGGGCTGGCAGCAGCTGGAGATACAGCAGCTGGGGCGGCAGCAGGTGGTCCTGCAGCAGGTGGTCTGGCAGCAGCTGGGTCTGCAGCAGCTGGAGATACAGCAGGAAGGCCTGCAGCAACTGGAAATGCAGCAGCTGGGGCGGCAGCAGGTGGTCCTGCAGCAGGAAGTCTGGCAGCAGCTGGGGCGGCAGCAGGTGGGCTGGCAGCACACAGACTGGCAGCACTGGGGCCTGCAGCAGCTGGACACACAGCAGCTGGGGCGGCAGC